AGAGATATTTTACAATTATCTTATAATATAGTGATCAGCTTTGAGCCATTTTTTTGTTTGATAGCTTTCATTAAGCTCTTCAAAATAAAAAAAAGATTGCTCAAATTGGACTGGTAGATCATGAGATATTTGCAAAAAATGGAATTTTTAAGTTTTATTTAGTACTTAAAGTAAGGTTGCTTGCTGAAACCTGTTTGGTCTAATGCCGAAAGGTGAAACCTCTTATATGTCAAAATTGCGAAATTGCTGAAATATGCTGAAACCTCTATAATAGGTTTCTCCATAATTTTGGCATAGTTGATCATAAGATTTACATATAGTTACGCCAAGTTATACCAATTAATAATATAATTTAGATGATCAAATAATCTACAGATAGGGATGATAAATTAACGGTTAATTATAATTTGGGTTAATTAACCGTTAATTAACCGTTAATTAACCCAATTATAATTTCTGATCTATTATAACAAATTTTTATAATTTTTATAATTTATTTAATTAAACTTATATTTTTATTTTATATTTATCAAAATTTATTTATTATTCAGTTGCTAAATCCGTAATATTTAATTCTAACCTGAATATTCTATCATCATCATCATTATTGTTATCGTTACCAGTATTATTATTATTATTATTTATATCATTATTGTTATTATCATTACGCTGATTATGTATTAATTTTTTTTTTAACTCCTTTTCGTACAACTGAAGATTTCTGTAAATATAAATCAACTTCTTAATACATTCATTTTGCAATCAATTACAGATTTTATTATGAATAAACCCAAATGTAGAAAAATTTCTTTCAGCGACGGCGAATGACGTTGGAATTGAAAGAATCTTAATAGCTAGTTGTTGAAGGCTACTATTTGGCCAAGATTGCCACCATACAGACAGATTAAGGTTAGTTAATGATAACCAAATCGTTTTATTATCATATGGTGAATTTTTTTGACGAAATTTTACTAATTCTGTAAATATAATTACAGATTCCTCTTGACCGAACCTTTTACTTGTGAATTCTGTGAATTCTCTATATCCCATTGTCTCTATATCAGTATTTTTGCTTTTTTCTAAAAAACATGAATCTAACATATAAGCAGCCATCATAACAGGATGGTATGTATAATTCCACCATTTTTGAACAAGTTGTTGAATATTGTTAGAAAAATTACAAGAGATTTCACTAACTTGATGCATTAATTTTTTGAAGTGAAAATAAACAGTTGAAAAAGTAGATGTGTCTGATTCAAACAATTTTAACGCTATAACCATTGGCTCTAAAAATTTTATAATTGTATGATTTGTGTCCAACATATTCCAAAAATTTTCTGATAATACAAAATTTCTTACTGTATTATTTATTTTTTTACGGATATCAGGATCCATTAATGTTTGTTCAAGAGCAGTTTTTGATTTTTGAAGTGACTGAAAGCAGCTAAGATGTGATCCCCATCATGTAAGTACTGGTAAAATCAACGCAATCTCTTTATTATAATTTTCACCTTGAATACGTTTAATTTTGCTGCTGATTGTACATAAGACTTAAAATAATTTACTATCATTTTAGAATTTTCAACTATAGTTTTAATTTCATCAATCTTTAAAACATCCTCAATTAAAAGATTAATAACATGAGAGTTACACCCAAGACAAACAACATTGGAATATTTTTTCTCAATTCATTTCCATGCTGATTTTATTACACTAGCTGTATCCGTAATAACAGCTGAAAATTTTTGAACACCAATAGCTTCCATTTGTTGAATAATTTCATTTGAAATCCATTCTTCTGTATGGAATTCTTCACCTGAAAATGTAGCATTAAAAAAAACTGGTTTAAAAGTACAAATGATAAAATTTTGTACTGATTCTCAATTAATATTAAACCAACCATCAGAAACCATACAAAGAGTCTTTGCTTTGGAAATTTGTTCATCAGTTTGTAATTTTACTTCATCGTAAATATCATTTAATAAATCTCCAGCAAGTTTTCTCCTATTTGGCAACTTGAAGGATAGCCGAAGACATTTAAAAAATTGAATGACAAGCAGATTTTCAACAAAGGCAAATGGTACTCCAGCTGAAAATAATGCTTGTGCTAGTTGAATTTCAAGGTCGTCTTGTTCTTCTTCACTTATACGATCAACAAAATTCTTAATCTTAGATGTTTTAGTTATTTTAATTCATTTTACAGGTATATTTGTATAAGTAGTATTTGGAGTAATAGTTGGAATGTAAATAGTGCTAGTTGTGGAACCTTGTGAATTAATATTTTTTTTAGACTTTGCATTATCTGGTGCTCCTAGACATTCTTTATCAAGATGATTTTACATTCGTGTAGGGACAGCTCTATTCAAAACTTTAGAACAATAATTACATTGTACAGTACGTAGAATGGAAGTTATTTTTATTACTTTCTGTTTGGTTTTGCGTAATAATAGTCCAATGTTTCCAAACAGCACCTTTTTTTAGTCATTGTTAAATTGAAAAATAAAAAAAATTATTGAAAAAAAGATTGATAAAAATCAAAATCGGTCACGTGACTGTAATCACTTCTTTTAATTGGCTAATTTATAATTAACCAAATTAACTGTTAATTAACCAAATTTACTTAATTATAATTAACCAAATTAACCGTTAATTAACTGCAGTTAATTAACCATAGTTAATTAACTCCATCCTTATCTACAGATAAAAGATTAAACTTCAATATTTTAACATCGTCTTAGTTCTTTTAAGCTTTATCTAGTGTTAGAATTTTCATTTCTAACTCCCATATTAATATTATAATATTACACATTTTTGCAGTTTTTTTTAAGAAGCTTATATTCATTAAAGGAAAATGCGTAATATGTATTTAATAAACCCAATTCCGTCATCTCCTTTAATACTGAACTAAAGTTTCTTTTACTTTCTTCCATTTTCTTAATAATAAAATTAATAATAAACTGTTTCAAATGACTGATCACAGAAGATTCACCCATTAAAAAGAAAAATAGAGAAGGTCGGCCACCTAATAGCATTTGGGAAGATATTAATAAAGGAGAAGCTGTTAGTTCTGGCAAATTTGCCACCTCTTGCAAGTACTGTAAAAATATATGGTCACACAGTAAAGTTTCAAAGCTTGAAGAGCATCTTTCAAACCATTGTCCAGATGCGCCAGCAGTAGTTGTTAGAAGGTATATGACTAAAGTAATGGAATGGCAAGATAAGTCCAAGTCATCCAAAAAAGGAAAATACTCTGAAGGTCAAAGTAATATGGATGATTACCATGATTTAACAGAGCTTAACAAACAAAGATGTACACGAATTAATCGTGCATTGGTTAAATTTTTTATTGCGTGCAGAATTGCGTTTAGAATAGTAGAACATCCCTTTTTCATCAATTTTATAAAAGAGCTTAATGCCAGGTACAATACATTAACAAGGGAAGTATTAGTAAATCAACTACTTGAACGTGAATTAGTTCAAGTGAACTTCAAAGTTAATTCTGAGCTTGAAAAGAAAATGAATTTAATGTTAGGTTTATTAAATTAAATAGGCTATTATACGTGATTTTTATTTAATCTTACTTATTATATAAGATTAATTTATAATTTAGCCTTTGATGGGGGACGTCCAAAACTGTGTTCGATCACGTGACTTGTAAAAAATTTATTTTTTACAAATAAAACTTTTTCGCCAATACATAAAACTTTCAAGTTACATATAATATATGTATTTTAGCCTGCTGTGCAAATTTACTTAGTGCGTAACATGGGGTTTTGAACACCGTTTTTGACTTATTTGAATTTTTTATTTTCGTCATCCATTTTTGGATATAATTGGCAAAGATTATTCGTTCATATGTAAAGTCAAAAACAGTGTTTAAAACCAGCTTTTTTTCATTAAGTAAACTTGTAAAGCAGGCCAAAATACACTTATTTTATAACCTTCATACTTACATTAGTCTTAGTTCATAAAAAAATGGCTTATTTATAAAATGTCAAGTCACATGATTGAACACGGCTTTAGACGACCCCCTTTGATGGTTGGACGTCTAATACACATCGTTCAATTTGGAACTTCATTGTAATGACTCCATCGCATAAAGAATATCTTTATCAACTTTCTGATTTGTCTGAAAATTCGCATACTGCAGAATATTTAGTTATGGTAATTGAAAAGGTTATAGAAGGTATTGGAAAAGATCGAATATATGCTGTAGTTTCCAATAATATGGCCAATGTTCATAATGCACAAAAATTATATATGAGAATCATCCAAAGATTGAGAATGTACATTCTATCAATTTAATTACATGCGACATCGTCAAGAGTAAGTTTATATTAAACTGAATATTACGTAATATATGTAACTCTCCTAATAACTGTAATAGAATCATAGAAAAAATTTTTTTAAATATTATAAATTTTAAATTACTAATAATTTATAAAATAAACCTTAATATATAAAATTTTTAAAAAAATATGTATATTTTTGCCTACTCTGCAAGTTTACTTAAAACATCAAAAATGGGTTTGAATGTTATTTTAACTTATTTTATTTTATGAAACAATATTACAGTCTTATATATCAAAAGAAAAAGACCCTAATTGTAACTCTTCATCCATTAAAAGAACAGATCCTTACTTCTACCTTCTATGAGCACCATTTCTTATTCCAGCCAATAAGGAACAGCCATGTCATTTTTAACTTATTTGACAAACATTTTTTCAGAATTTTTTCGTTAAATCACGTGATGTATTTAATTCTGACCAAAATTAAATGATCGAAAAAGTATTCTTTTTTGGAAAAAAAGCGAGGACGAGATTTAGAATTATCCAAAATTTATAATGATAATTGTTAGGTTTCTAACTGATACCCTTTAATAAAAATAAAAATTTATAATGATAATTAATTACCAAATTAAATATTAATAATACTAACTTAATTATTTCATTTTAAATTATTTGAAATGATATACTTTCCTCATTTGCATCTTTTTCTATGTGGAAGACATTAGGAAATCTCTTTGCTGTATTAATTAATATATATTATTAATATTTCTATTACATGGCATCTACGTAACAAAATTTTCCGATAAGATCGAAAGCCAGGGGTATTTGCTCGTGTGAAAATTGGGTGCGATCAATCATCTGATTAAATTCGCACATTATTTTTTCGAAAGTAAATTAATTTTTTTTCACCTTTATTTATTTTTATTTATTTTTGTTTGAAAATTAAATGGACACGACTTTCTTTCCTGAAACTGTCGTGAACATTGATGGGCATACTGTTAACGTTGACGAACTCGCTAAGCGCTTTGTTTTGATTTTTATTACATTGAAGGTGAAAATTCACCGTTTTATCATAATTTCTTGCCCAATTTTTTTTTGTAAATTGACACTTAATCTTTGCTGTATATAAAAAAAGGCCACATGGTGTCCTGTTTGCCCCCAACTTTTGTTAATTTTAAACTTCCATGGGTTGAAAGATGACTGTCCAACTTCTTTTTGCGATCCTTTTGATAGAACTAGAACTGTTACGGAAATACCCCAAGAGGAAATCCCAGTATGTTTCAATCCAATTCTTTTATTTAATCGTATTAGTTTATCAGATAATTAAATTACCTCAATTCAAATTTTAGCTTAATCGCTTTCTCCTTAGACAAGAGGCATTTTTTATCATTATTTGCCCAGGGCCAGTTGAATTAGTTCGGCAAATTCAAAATGATTGTAATTTCTCTAATTCTCCGTATCATTTTGTCGTAGATGAAAACCTTTCTCTCGCCACTTCAATTAATCTTAGGTACTTTATTTCTTTTCGATTTATGTATCTCTAAACATAATAACCAACCATTTTTTGAATTCTTTTTTCGGTATCAAAGAATGTCACGTAATGAAATTTGGCCATGTATCGCTCACATAATTCCAGAGACACTTGCAATACATCCTGTCTTTTTTGGACGTGGTCCCAGCTTTTATGGATATAGAGATTTGTTAACTTATTTGCGTGAGCATCGTTTACAAGTTGAAGATAACGCGGAAAAACTCATTCTTAAGGCCATGAAAGTAGAGACACGTTTGAGAAAATCCGTATTAACCGAATATTCGGTCGAGAATATACAACAGCAAATTCAAGCGGATCAGCTGCAGCAAGAACACCGAGAACAAATTTTTCCTTTCGAGTTGTTATCATCTATATTTGAATACCTTGAACCAATAGAAATTGTTAGGAGTGTTACGGCAACTTCTCGACTTTGGAGAGCAATTGGATTGGAGGTAATCATTATGAATCTAAAGCGTGAAATAAAAATCGTTTCAGAGTCTCTAGTAACTTATCCTCAGACAATAGATAATCAAATGCCATATTTTTCGCGAATTGTTATGTTAAAACAAAGGAATAAATTAATTGGAATTTATGAACTGGGACAACAAATAAATTATTTGACCAAAATTGTTGAAATTTCTCAACGTCTTTTAGTGTATTGTAATGTTGTTTAGGACATAAACTCTTGTATCTTTCAATGTAGAATTTAATTTATTTAGATTGTATGTATATAAATTATTTATTTTATACTTTGTTTAATTTTATTACAAAATTTAAAATATACTTTATACTTGTATAATCCATTAATCACGTAAAGGCTAATAAATTAACCAGTTGACCCCGGATATTGTCAATTTTATCTGTTTTAGGAATCCACAGTGACAATTCTATCTCCAATAATCGGAGCGACAGTGACCCAATCTTTTATGAATTCTGTATTTTTTGAATCTATTTCATCATCAATTATATCATCGTTATTAGATGATTCCTCATTCTGTCTTTTTATATTTTCACCTAGAGAAAGCTTTAATGCATTTTGAATAGTATGACCAGAAATGTGTTTCTGAGCTGTTTTATCACGGCCTTTTTCTGCCAGTTTTTTCCAGGTATCTGCTGCTTTTGAAACTGCTTCCTTAGTCCTAGACTCACAGCTCATATTGAATTTAATGGCATTAACATAATAAAGACCAAGAAAATATCGACGGATTAAGGTTGAAAGAATAATACCATTTTCTTCATCAACTAGGTACTGTGTATTAGGTTGAGCGAAGGCAGTATAACCATCGTAGCCAGACGCCATATAATTGCGAGTACTAACTGTGTAAATTTTGTGTAAATCTAATTTTTCTATAATATTAGGTTTGTCATAATCAGATTCAACTACACTTTCTCCCGTTGTATGTGGACTTTTCTCTGTCAACCAAACATTTCTTAGTCGATGTTCCGGTTCAGCATTTGGATTATATTCTATTTTCAAACCACTCACTACTGGAAATCTCCCTTCTTGTTTAGGTACCTTTGAAACAGCACTTTCCAAACCATCCCACAATTGTTGCCCAGTAATTCGAATAACAACTACCGTGTCTTCGAAAGGAAATATCTCAAGCAAATCTCCCAAAGTAATTTTTCCCGGTCCATAAACTGAATCTGAACGTATAGTACCTCCACATAATATCGAACAGTCTATATTATGAATGCATGGTTGATATGCGTATAACATTATATCAGCTACAAAGTTTCCAAATGCAGTTTCTCGAGTTCGAAGCTCTGTTGATCGGCAGTCCTACAAATCGATGACATAATCATTTAATTTTTCATAGATTAAATTAATTTACGTTATGTCGAAGATAATTATTGTAATACCCATTGTGTTAATGTATAAGCTATAGGTCTAAGTAATAAAATTAATGTATTTAGTATAAATTTGTTTAAAAATTACAAATTACATATTGACGAAAATTATAATCGAAAATCGTACCTGGACAATTTCGACTTAATATCAGAGGTAGCGGAATTAGTTAATTCTATAAAATGAGAATCCTCGGCAATTGATGACGTAACTTCTTGGCGCGTAACTGTGCGCGTTAATATGTAATATACATAATATAAATTTAAGCGGATAAATTCTCGAATAGATTAAAAAGCTAATGTTACGCTAACCTGCCACTTTTTTAATTATTTTGATAGTTCCTCCTTCTTCGTTGTCAATTTCTTCAACTTCACATTCTACAATACTTAATTCTCGAAAATCTGTTCCGCTCTTAACAACGCGCACTCCATTATCTTCACCGCTTCCACTTACTTCTTCTCTTATCCAACCATTGATAATTTCACAACCTTTCCCGATGTAATAAAAGTGATCGTGTCTATTACACATATAATGTCATGTTATTATTGGATAAATAATTATATTTAAATGAGAAATATTTTACCCTCCAAGAATCAAATCGATTTCATCTTGAGTTTCTCTTGCTAATAAAATGTCATTTGGCAAACGACAATGCGTTAAGGCTATAACAAGATCTACTGCATAAGGCCCTTTAGGGTCACGTAATTGTGCGGCAAGTTCCTTTCCAACAGCTATATAATCTTTATACTGTAATGCTGGTGGAAGACTAGTTTTTATAATAATTTGTTATTATCTAACAGAATTCAAATAAAGATATCAACAACAAATTGCATGTGACATACCCAGGAATAGTTTCCAACCAATCTCTATAAAATAATGGAATAGGTGTTTTTTTTACAAAATACTCATAATGAAAACAAATATGTAAGTTTCGTTTAAAACTTACTTTTCAACCAAACCGATAATTCCGAGTTTAAGATCATTCTTCTCCAGAATATGGAACTTTTTTCCGTTCGCAACCGGATTTCCACTTTCAGAATCAATAACGTTTGATAATAACCAAGGGAAATTGGTCTCTCCAACTAATGCTTTAAGGTTTGGTTCTCCGTAATCAAAATCATGATTACCCATGCAGGCAACGTCCACACCAAAATTATTCATCACTGGAATCTTTGATCACATGAACGAAAAAGTAAAAAATCATAAAAAGCGTTAACATAATACGTTTATATCATAAGATACACGTAACATACTTATGAAAGATTTGATACGATACGATACCATATGTCTGCCTTTACTGACACTACTCTCAACAGAAGGATTAAAAAGATCACCACTGAAAAATACACATGAAGAATCAGGCCCATATTTTGCACGAAATTCTTTTAAAACGGTAGCAAACCGTGCTGCTCCTCCAACAGGCTCCTGTTTCCGCGGTAGAAGGTGATAAACATCATTAAAGTGAAGAATTTGAATACCTCGCATTTTTTTTTAGTGAAATTATCTGTTATGAGCGAAATATAAGTTATTTTTGAAAAGTCTTAATTTGAAGTTTATTATATATATGATATGGTAACACTCGTTCCTGCATATATAGGATAATATAAGTTATTCTAATATTTACACGAGAAAGGATATAGTGTTCTGCAAAAAATATCGAAATATCATCTGAAAATGTTTCGCGATAGCTGTTATTAACTTAAAAGGTTAGTTAGTGAACACAACATGTTTGTGTATATAGTGAAGATTTACATAGCATCAATATTCAGTACATCAACTACAATCCCAAAACTTTTTTTAATGCCACCAGCATTGATTTCACCTTCGGAAAATGACTACATTCTTCGAGGCGTCGATTCTAATATCCGCGCGGATGGTAGAGGACGTCTTGATTATCGTCAAATAATATTGGAAACCGGTCTTATCACACAGGCCAGTGGAAGTGCTCGTTGTAGACTGGGAGAAGGAACTGACGTATTAGTTGGTATTAAAGTCGAGCTTGGTGCAGTAGAATTAGATGGTGCTGACGAAGATGTTGCTGCAATAAAAGCTAAACGGGGAAGGGTTGTCTGTAATGTTGAATGGTAAATTGAATTCATTGCTAAAAGTTATTCATGAATCATTCTTTCCTTTGCATCATTTTAAGTCTTGCAGTTCTCCAATCGCTTCCCAACAATTTGCAGGTAGAGGAGCTGACGATTTCAATAATGAGCTCACACAGATGTTGGATCGCGTGTTGAATGGCCCGCAAGGTGGTTTAAATCTTGAAAAACTCTGTATCATTCCCGGACAGCAATGTTGGATTGTTTACATTGATGCCATAGTAAGTTCACATAGTTTACACATCATATTTATTTCTCAACATTAAATATTTTTTCAATTCACTTTAGGTTTTAGACTATGCTGGAAATATATTAGATACAATATTTATGGCTACACGAGCTGCTCTTTATAATACGAAAATACCGAAGACAATTATACAGGATCGTGGTGACGGTGAAATAGAATTTGATATATCAGATGATGAAGAAGAATGGGAGAGAATTGAAGGTTGGGACAAGGTTCCTGTTGCTATCACTTTGAACAAGGTTAGATACACTTGTAAAAAAAATTTTTATTTTCATTTACTAAGAAATTTCTTTTTTTTTAGATCGGGTCACGTCATATTGTGGATGCTACGCCATTAGAAGAACTTACGACAGAAGCTAAACTGCTTGTGACAGTAAATAAGGATGGTAAAGTTTGTGGACTTCAAAAGAGTGGTGGTGGAAGCATAAATCCAAGTTTGTTAAATGACATGGTGCAGGTATTTTAAATTTACTTTTATCTATTTAATTTCTTTGCTGTTAAATTTGATCTAGTTATGTCTGCTCTTCCGATGGTAAAGAATCGTGCGTGTAAATCATTTTCTTGATAAGAACATTGCAACCCTATAAAATATTTCTAAATTTTATTAGACAGGACGATCACTAGGTCAAAGCTTGATACAAAGTTTGGATGAAATGCTCCAACGAGAAGAAAATGATATTAATCTGAAACGAGCGCGAAAAGAACGCATAGAGAAGCTTGGATTTTTTGCTGCGATATAAAATGATCAAATAACATGTTTTAGTTTTTTTTTTATTTCAAATAAAAATGAATGTTGCACAATATGAAATCATTTGACGACATAGATCATATGATGTATAGAATCATCTGATTTCTGATGTATAAAAGTTGTCTTGCTTCTATATTCTATGTTCTATATTCTTCCTCCTATAAAAACTAAAAACGATTAAATGGAAAATAAAGTACCTTTAAATTCGGAATATTTCCATTCTCGAAAAACAAATTCTTATCGCCGTCGTTCTAAGAGTTTATCTGATAATGTTGATAACGGTAAAAATAGTTCACTTTACAGCAGACGTCATCATTCTCCCCCTCCGAGACGTGCTCACCACCAACCAATTATGAAATTCAATGCTGATATGTGGATGCAGGTTCAATTCTTATATTTCCATATAATGTTTCATAATTTTCTATTGATCATTTCAAGTTGCTTTTCTTAGGAATTCAAACAAAATGTAATGGAGAAATTGTTTAAAGAAGAAAGATTCAAGGCCTTTCAAAAAAAACGAAGTGAATTAGAAAATGTTATGGATATTAGTGATGATGAAGAATGGCAGGAACAACAAAAGGTACAAAGTTATTCATTAATTGACATACGTTTTTCTGTTCTTTTTAAGTTTTATAAAACGTTGGTTTCTTTGTTGTTTTATTTTTTTGTGTGCAGATCACTCCAATGGTGATCACCCCTCAATATGTAGTAATATTTATCTTAACCACTCACCGTGGCGCAGTTGATCGCTGAAAATTATGAAACTGATTTTGGACTTTCTTTCTTTTTTAAAGTTAATCCAGTCAGTCGTTCAAAATGAATGGGAATATTATCAATCCTCTCCATATTCTCAGTACCAACTTTGGCTACAAGAACAGCAAAATCTTGCTGCGATGCAACAACAGCAAAATTTGTATAGTACTCCACAGCTACAGCAACACCAGCAACAAGAGTTTATTAATAATTTGCCTACAGAAATTGCCCAAGATGTTACGGTAAATAATTTGCCTTCAAAGTGGTTTCAATACCGAGAAAGTAAAGAGCAATGAATGTACAGCACACACATATATTTTTGATTGGATATATATATATTTTTTTAACTTTTTTTTTTCTGGGAATTTTCTTGTAAGTTTTCTTGTATTTCATTATTATTATAATAAATAACAAAAGCCATGAAAAAACAGAGTTGTAAATAAGTATTTAATCTAAAAAAATGATATTTAAAATTAAATCATAAATAAAATGATGAATTGATCTTAAAGGCTGTGTTTGAGGCGAAGCAATGGCTGTGCGATCATATTTGGTCCTAATTCATATATAACTTTTTGAATTTACTTTCATTTGTCTTTTTATCGCTCTTTAAACGATTTATCTTCAAAAAGTCTTTACGATATAATTATTTGATTCATCGTAAAAAAATTCATATCTAGAATTTGAGATTTTAGTCTCACTTTATTTGAGGCTTAGCTTCGAATTTGTTTCTTTAATCAATCGATGAACGTCTTGCAAGAAAAAACTTGATTAATTACTATTAACTGATAAACTAAAAAGCTGGCTAAGCAAATGCTCAGCCACGCGTCAGTTAACATACGGTTAATAAATTATACTACATTAATTTTTCTTATCATTTTTTCAAATTTTGGAATTCTTTCGTTCCTTTAAAAGTAACTTTATCTAATTTGATTTTATTTATTTTATTTAGAGAAGTGCTTTTCTTTAAAAAAAAAAAAAACAATTCTTATTTCTCTTATTGTCCTAGTAAGTTTTTCGATTAAATATACAAATTGTTTTTTTATATCTTTAAAAAAATATATATATATATATATTCCTTTCAATCTCGTATTCACGAAAATTCAATTTAGGTTCAAAGTATGGTCGGAGTATGGATCGCTTTTCATTTCATTGATTGTAAGTACCGCTTACTTTATCTTGATCACGTGACGTGGACAATTCTCTTAAATTATTCTGCATTTAGCGGCTACGATTTTTTCAAAAGGACTTGGATATGTTCACGGTATTTGGAATATCGTTAGAGGAGTAATGGCTGTGGGAGGACTTGTTGGTGGTATTATGGTAAATGACAATTTTGTGATATTCCTTTCTACAATTTTAAGTAAAAAAAAGATGATTCATTTTACGTTCCCTTTTTTCCGTTTTATGTAGCAAAATCAAAAATTGGTTAAATTATTCTCAGTGGTTGTTAGTGTTAGCGCATTGGTTTATTTGGTATTTGGAACAGCAGTTTCAATTATTACTGCCAAAAACAAAGATAAACTTGTGGATATGTGTCTCAAAAAATTTAGTGAACAAGCACATGAAGGAAAGTATTGGAGCCCCCTTGAAAATTGGTCAAGACCATTCGATAAACGACAAGACAATGGTACAACGAATGAACAACGAGAATTATGTCAGCAAGCTGTAAAGTTTTATATTGGATTTGCTGTTGTGTATACAGTTGCCGGTTTCTTACTTATGGTAATTTATATATATATATATATGTATATATTTTGTATATATTTTAAAAAAAGCAAAAAAATTTACGCGTTTTTTTTACACAGTTCTATTTCGCATCAGTCATCTCTAATTACAATGGAGAACTCAAAAGGAAAGATATGTATAATAAAGTAAAAGCTCTTGATAATACCACTGTTGAACCAGAGAAACCCCCAAGAGGAATTGCTGTGGATTTATAAATATTATGTCAAAACTACTTATATTAATTTATTTATTTTATTTCATTTTATATTATTTATTTTACTTTTTTTATATAAATAATATTCGAATAGCTTACAAAAGGATTTTAAAGTCATAAATTTAAACAAAAAAAAAAACAAAAAAATATGTTCTTCTGGTCTTGTTTTAATTGATATGTTTCTAGAATGTAACAGTTTAAAAATAAATTTTTTCATAAATACCTGCATTCACTCCGATGTTAGTGAAAAGTCCGAACTTGAAAATCCTATTGAAAATGTAACGTGTTTGTATCAGATTTTAAAAAATTTCGATAGTTTTCTTTGAACACTTTACTCGTTTTCATCTCATTACCAATAATAGCCTTTTAAAGTTTATATATTAAAAAAGATGAGTGGCATCAGTGACGTTGAGAAACAACAATATTTTAAGGTTTTTTCTGCCCTAGGGCCCACAAATGGTTTTATTTCTGGTAAGTTAAATATACAGCTTTATAATTTATCTGACAAAATAAAGCTTTAATTATATTATCAATCTAGGTAACCAAGCTAGAAATTGGCTCATGAACTCGACTTTACCTATGCAATGGCTTGAAAGGATATGGTAGGTTTTATTTATTTTTAAAAAAAACTATATATATATTTCAACTAATACTTTTTTCTAATAAATAAAGGGATCTTTGTGATATTGATAAGGATGGTCAACTTGACTTTGATGAATTTTCAGTCACATCTAGATTGGTTAATGATTTATTGGCTCGGGTATATTCGGATGTCCCACCAACATTACCTCCTCATTTAATCCCCCCCAGTAAGGCATATCTCTTTGGAGGAAGCGGTGGTGGATTTCATGGAGGTTCAACATTAGGAATTAATTCCGGAGTATACCCTCGTACAATTAGTCCTATTCCGCAATCGATCAGCCCAGTTCCATTATCCATTAGTCCAATCCCTCAGTCAAGCAGTCCACTTCCTAACATGATGCCTTCATATTCACAATCACAGATACAACCTCCACTTCCACCTCCTTCACTACATCATCAGGTATATCAATTATAAATTAATATTATTATAAACCTTATATAAAAGATCGGCTAGAAAATTTTTAGTATTCTTAATATTAGTCGAGTAGTTATGGTAGCTTCCCAACAGCACCTTTATCCGATGATTTTGATTGGTATATGCCTCCAGCAGATAAATTTAATTATGAAAATGAATATACTAAACATGTCGGAGCTCATGGTTATGTCCGATGTAAGTTATGGTTTTTTTTCCTCCCACTTTTCTTTGATTTAACTAAAAAATTATTTTTTTTTAACTATTACTTATATTTTACTTTAGTTGCAAACTTTGATGAGCTTTATCAACGACTTGGAATACCGAGAGAAGAGTGTATAGCAGCATGGTTTTGAATTTATTTGTTATATTAGGTTTTCTTAAGTTGTATACAATCGTTAAAAATAATTTTATTATGAATATTTAGGGGTCTTGTCGATGTTAACTTTGAACAACAACTCGGAAAAGATCAGTGTCTTGTCTTCCTTCATATATTAAATCAGCGAAGTAAAGGAAAACGTATACCTGATAGTTTACCTAGTGCTTTAAAAACATCATTAGTAAGAGGAAAATTGAATTACAACTATAATGAAGCTCTTGATCCTTCATGGAAGTCAAAGACAAATGATAGTGTTAATAGTTCAACTTATGGACAATCTTCTAATTCAGGTGGTAGGTGAAAATTTAAAATTTATTTATATAAAAAATATTAAATTTAATAAAATTTAACTTCTCATTAGGAAAATTGGAAGAAGAAAAATTAGAAAAAGAATTAGCCGAATTAAATGAAAGGATAAAGAAAGCAGAAGACGCTGCATTATCTTCTTATACAAATGCTTTACAAATCTCATCTAGCGGAGGGAAAACATCAGAATATAGACAACTTTATGAATTTAAACAAAAGCAACTAGCAGAATTAAATGAAAAAGAACAGTTAAATAGAAATTTAGAAGAATGTATTCGAAAAGAACGTCTTTCAGTACGTGAATTACAAGATAACATTCAATCTTTGAAAAACCATGTAAGAACTTTAGAAAATACTTTGGAGAATAGTCAATCAGAATATAGAAGAATTCAACAAGATATTGATAATGTAAAACTTGGAAGATAATATGAGATATTAATTTATTTACTTAAAATCCTATTATTGTATTTTTATTTTAATATGAAGAAAATTTTTTAGATTTAGATGAAAAACTATTTAAATAAAAAAAGAACCAATTTTGGTAATGACGTAACTCAATGATCTGCGAAGTGTGATACTTAATTTTTTATAAAATTTTTTTATTAAATTTACCATCAATCCATGAAACTCTCTTATTAATTAATCTTAACCATGACAGATGAAAAATCCGAAAACTTGGATGATGACATTCCAAAGTATTTATTTATATTTCATTTATGAGTATATATTTTTTATTATTACTAAAATTTTAAAATTAAATAATATATATAATATGTTTATTTAGTTTATCTGAACATGCATTATCGGCATTAAATGAATTTCTTTCAGAACAAGAACAACATCAAATAAAATTTGAACAATTAAGACAAAAATCTTTATCATCTATACAAAATTATTTAGGAACAAATTCACAAAATAAAGGGAATGAGGAGCAAAATGAGGAAAATGAAGTTAATATGGAATTGTTTAAAGAAGATTGGCAGGTATGATTATGTCATTTTATGGATATGGTTATTATATAAATGAGAAGATTTAAATTAATAATTTTTTTTTTTTGTTCTTAACTTGGTTAATAAGTTGAGTCAATTTTGGGTTAAGTTTCCTTAATTTTAAAAAAGTCAATTTTTGTTGATTTTATTATAATTCTTAAAATGACCAAATATTATTTTCTGTTTAATTAGTATGATGAAGAAACATCGAATACATTAGCTCAAGAAGCTTTAGCTAATACAAGTCCAGATAGTCGGATAGCATGTATTAGTACACCAACAGCATTTGTAAAATTAAAAGTATTTTTCACATTATTTTTAAATAAATTTATAAAGGAATTAATTATACTTTTCATTATATTAACAATATTATTTGAAATTTATTAAAATAGTCAGTAAACCCACTTCCAAAACAAACAATTTGTCTCTTTGAATATGATACAAGATTTAATATATACGGAAATGATTTTTATGAATATGATTATAAGGATCCGACTAAATTTCAAAATTCTTTGGAATTAAAAAATTCTTTTGATTTCATATTAGTTGATCCTCCATTTTTAAGTGAAGATTGTTGTACTAAAACTATGATAACAGTTAGATGGCTTGGAAAGAAAGAGAATTGTAAAATTTTAATTTGCACAGGTAAATTATCAATTTATCTATCATTTATTATTATATACTCTCAAAAAAAAAAAAGAAATAATAATAATTATTTTTTTTTAGGTGCTGTATTGCGTGACCTTATTTATAGACTAGTCAAAGCAAAGATGACAACTTACTTTCCAAGACATAAAAGTGGATTGGCAAATGAATTTCGTTGTTACTCAAATTATGAAAGCCAAAAAATTAAATGGGTAAAAGATGAATTATAATAAAAATAAATTATATATTTAATATATATTTATAATAAATAATAAAAAAAATTACTGTATTGGCGGCTAGCCCAATAGTGTGCTCTTTATAAGTCCAACCTGATTCTTGATTCTGATCAAATGATTTGTGGAATAAACGTCGTTAATTTTTATTTCGAGTAGCTTAAGAATCTTTTTTGAAATGAAATTATATTCAGTCTAACTGAATTATCACCTGATATAATCCATTCTTTTGCAGTTTCCCCTATTTCTTAACGATTAGATAACACTTTCCATGAATTCATTCTTCTTGCTTCTATGATAATCTATGCGAAACGCGTTCAAATCTGTGTTACGTAAAAGATCTGAAATATTTATATCAATGCCCGTGATTGAAATTTTTTGCTATTTCATATTTTCGCAATGTTAAAAAGACTGTTACGTAGACCTACGCTTCAACAATCTCTAAAAACTAACCATGGTTTATCAAGTCTTTTATCTGTATGTATTTTATCATTTTATGACCCCTTTTTTCAATTAAATTTTTAAAACTTTTTCTTTGTGAACTTTAAGAGAGGCTATGCTTCTAGCGCAGCTCAAAAGGAGGTATTGAAAAAATAATATTTTTTTTAAAAAAAATTTTTTTTATAGTCATAAAAGCTTATCTATTTGCTTTATTATTATTAGTATTTGAATAAACATTTGTCGGAAATTGACCCAGAAGTTTTCGACATCATAGAAAAAGAAAAAAAGCGACAACGCGAGAGTATAGTACTTATTCCATCAGAGGTGAATTTAATTTACCTAATTGTATTCACTCTTATTACTTACTATTCATGTTAATATTTATAAATTAATTATCAAGAATTTCACGTCACGCGCGGTTATAGAAGCTTTAGGCTCTATTATGCAAAATAAGTATTCGGAAGGATATCCGGGTGCAAGGTATGAAATTTGATTCTAAAAAAATTGTTATCATTTTTTTTTTATAATTGGCTTTTTTTTAGATATTATGGTGGAAATGAATTCATTGATCAGGCAGAAATTCTGTGTCAGAAGCGAGCTTTAGAAGCTTTTAATTTGAAAGATTCTGAATGGGGTGTAAATGTTCAGCCTCTATCAGGTAGTTTTAATAATTCATAAATTATTTCAAATATGATATCTCAATATTTCTTTTTTATATTATGTAGGATCACCGGCCAATTTATATGTGTACAATGCTATATTAAAGCCTCATGAACGGTTGATGGGATTGGATTTACCACATGGTGGACAGTAAATATTTTTCAATTAATCATTGTAGTAATTTCAAACATTTATAAAATTTTTTTTACTTAAAAATTTATTTAATTAGCTTATCACATGGATATCAAACAGATACTAAGAAAATTTCAGCAGTTTCATCCTACTTTGAGACTTTACCATATCGGTTAAATGAAAAAACGGGGATAATAGATTATGATGCCCTCGAAGCTTCGGCGGTATTATATCGACCAAAGGTTATTATTGCTGGTGCTAGCGCATACCCAAGAAATTATGATTATGCACGAATGAAGCAAATTACAGAAAAAGTGAATGCATATTTAATTGCAGATATAGCTCATATTAGCGGTATGTTTTGCAATTGAAATTTTATGGTTTGGTACACAAATGTCTAAGAATTTTCATTTTTATTCTTTAGGTTTAATTTCTGCTGGGGTTCTTCCTTCGCCATTTGAATTCGCCGATATCGTCACAACTACAACGCATAAGTCTCTTAGAGGTCCACGTGGAGCATTAATATTTTACAGGAAAGGTGTACGTAAGGTTGATAAGAAAGGAAAAGGTGATTATGTGAATAATTATTCGATTAACTTCTTTTAGATTATCAGGCATCGTTAATTTTTTTGTTTGTTTTAACTTGTAAAGTAAATCCTCCCTATCTATAATGATCAAAAAGAAATCTTGTATGATCTTGAAAATCCTATCAACCAATCTGTATTTCCCGGACATCAGGGTGGGCCACATAATCACACTATCACTGCACTCGCCGTAGCACTCAAGCAAGCTAAATCTCCAATTTTCAAAGAATACCAACAGCAAGTATTAAAGAATAGTCTTTCATTCGCCGAAGCATTTAAGAAAATGGGATATAATTTAGTTTCGGGTGGTACAGATACACATCTGTTGTTAGTGGATTTAAAGTCAAAAGTGAGTTTGAATATGAACAAGTTCAATGAAATGTTGACATTACGCGAATTTTAATCACTTCAATCTTTTTTTAGAATATCGATGGCGCGCGTGTGGAACGAGTCCTTGAATTGGCAAATATTGCGGCTAATAAGAATACAGTTCCTGGTGATAAGAGTGCCTTTATACCAGGAGGATTACGTGTTGGTACACCAGCCATGACAACACGTGGTCTTAATGAATCTGATTTTGAAAAAATTGCAGAATTCATTGATCGTGGTGTCAAATTAACTGTTGATATAAAAAAGAAAGTTACGGGTAAAAACAATTAATATATATACATAACTTTTAATAATTAAAGTAATATAAAAAAATATTTAATAATTTTTGTATTTGTAGGGACCAAACTCCTAGATTTTAAAGAGCATTTGGGTGATCATGGTTCCAGTGAACCACTTATTAAAGATTTAAAGGATGAAGTAATAAATTTTGCAAAAAAATTTCCTACTATTGGTTTTGATGAAAGTGAAATGAAATATGCATAAATAATATCGAAGCAGTCTGTAAAATCTATATTAAACCTGATCTTTGTGCATATTACAATGTAGTTTATATTGTAAATTTTTATATTATAAAATTAAGTCAACAACAAAGTTCGAATTTAGTAAATTTAGTGATTTAAATGGTTTATTCGTACATAATAAATTGTACAATTACAGTGATTATTATTTGTATAGTATACATAATGAGCTACAAAATATTTTCATTTTCTGAATGGTACAATGTGACAAATTCTCAAATCTTAAAAACCTAATTCCATTATAATATAACCTAATATGACTTAAACTAACTAAACATATCATTTGTTTGTGGGAATAAAGAGACAAATATTTGACCATGTGAAATTATTGATTAATTCGTATCTTGTATCGTGTTTTTATAAACTTTTACGATTCTAACATAGGAATATATATTTATATTTTTCATAAAAATTATTAAATATAAGGGTTCATTAATTTTTATAGGCGAAAATTATAATATTACGAAAAAAAAAAATAAAAATAAAAATAAAAATAAAAAAAATTGAAAAAAGAAGCGATCCAAACGATTCAATTAAATGAAGAAGGTTATTGTGATACTTGATGATGATGATGAATAAAATGATTTATAAATATATATATAAGTTATATAATAATTTATTTAATCTACACTAATTCATGTGAATCGGGTACTAAAAAAAATATACTATTATATATATATATATATATATATATAACATCATAATTTCGATCTATAGTTCTAAAAACATCTCTGTTTTATCCCGTAAAATAGGTTAAATCATAATTGAATAAGTAATCATTTTCAGAAAAAGGTTTATCAAAAATTAAAAGATCTTGATTAAAGTCGTCATTTCTAGAAGTAAGTTTATCAAAAATTTTCATTAATTGAATCAGTAAATCCATTTTTTTTTAATTTTTCTCATCATCAATTAAAATGAATCATAAATGGTATTATAATAATATTACTATATTATCTATCATTTTATAATGAATATTTTTTTAGAATTGATATGTTATAATAATAACAATTATAACAATCAATTAAATTTAATACATTATGATCACCTTTCAGATTAATCCTATTTCAATTAAAAATTATATATCAAATATATCTAGACAAATCCTATTTTGTAAATTTCACCCCCCTGATGATACTCGAATTTATTCCAATTTCTAGAATCACATATTCAACAAATTGATTGGATTTTACCAGGGGTTCCTCCTATCTATCAACTAATAAATTTATTGAAATTCCATTAGTAATAATAAATGTAATTGAATATATTTTATTGGGGATCAAGCCATCAAAAATTTTTGTAACAAATTGGATTATAAGATTACCAATTACTAGGTAAGAACAAAAACGAAGAAATTATTAGATAATAATAATCATCCTATTTCCTAGATTTTTTTTCCAAGTAAGGAGAGTACAGTACGTTTTTAAAAACTATAATCTTAAGATTTCAATTAAATAATTAAATAAATTAAATATAAAAAAAGAAAAGAATTCCTTAAAATAGTATTTTATTATAAAAATAAGAAAAGAAAGAAAAAAAAAAAAAA